AAGTCCGTACTAAAGCAGCCAGTACAGTATCGAAAGCTGTACTAAAAGTACTGAAACTATTATTCCAGTATCGAGAGCTGTACTAAAACAGCCAGCATATTCCAGTATGCCTCGCAGGTACTGAATACTGTGCAGTACCGCCAGTATCAAGCGCTGTACTAAACACGCCCGTGCAAAACACGGTCTGAGCATCGCGCTTGCTGGAAAGCAGTCACCTGAAAGGCAGATCCACAAACGGAAACGCGATAATAGTGACGAAAGCAAGAAACCGAGGACGAACAAACGCGCCAAGCAACAAAAGTCGAAAACGGACTCGACATGTAGCAAACAAAGCGTGAAACCAAGTACTAAGCGGAAAAGCAAAAGAGGACGAAAGGCGAATAAAAAATACCATGTATCAAAAATGCATAACACGGTGAAAGGAATAGCAACCATAAAATTGGAAGCTATACTAGCGGTTGTTTTGGGTCAACCACTGGCAAGGAAAGTCAAGTATATGATTCTAGATGCTCTTTGGGGTCACAACCAAATAGCATTGTTGATGAGTCGTGAAAACAGTAAAAACTGTTAACGCATCGTGCGCCTGTTAAATTCGTCCAGCAAAAAAAAATTGCAACACCCAAGCGGTATGTATGGTCAACGAGGGTCAAACACCGCAGCAAGTCTAAACCTTGCAAGCAAGGGATTTGCAAATTGTCTTAAAAGACAATCATCTGCTCGTGAATGATAGGAGACACGAGGGCAATCACCAAAGAGGTGTCGTCGAGTTACTTACAACATAAGTGACTCCGGAACAATCTATCCAATATGAGTCTCGGGTATGTGCGGATCCCCTCGTTGTAACGTAATGCGTGTTTTCTCAACACGGCAGCGACGAGGAGGGGCAAACAATCATATTCACGAGGTGTGTCATACAACAACAGGAGTAACCTAAACCCAATTCCACTTGCATTCCCTCATTCACTTGAGAATGAGCGCCAAAAAACATATTTTCGTAAAGATGGATTTCCGGCGAACAAATGTCCATGACACATGCTGCCACTTGATGCGGCAACATCTGGGAACAACACGGACACAGGGAGTACCCCCGTACCCATACGCACAACCTCTCATTCCTCCCTTGTCAAACACAAATGATGTACCATGCATGAAATGATGAACTCTGTCTATATTTACAAGTATGGTCCACGCTGCCTACAAATGGGAGAGGTAGCCATACCTCATGTCTACACACGGACGAGAGAGGTGAATACACCCACTGCATTTAACACACACCCACATGTCGGTTATGAAACCTCATCAACCACACGCCTCTATCGGCGACCACGTCATCAGGAGGCAATGATGAGAAATGTTCTCCCGTGCCCTTCTCACATTTAACGACATGAAATTCCACAACATAACATATATGAGACACACAAGACAGCTACCAAACTGATCTTTTGAGCCTGTCACCCGAGAGTTGTCCCTATATGCTGTCTAGGAAATCGTAGACATACAGGTAGTTTTCTCTGACCCTATGATTCCATT